GAGGAACAGCATGGTCTTCCGCGCGGCCGCCCCGCCTTTGGACGACGAGCTGCAGGAGAAGCTCGCCCGGCCGGGCTTCAACGTCGAGTCCCACGAGCTCATCGAGCAGCGCCTCGAGAACCTCAAGCGCAAGCCCACGGTGCTCTCGTGGCTCGACTCATACGTGCGCGCTGCCGAGGCCGAGGCCGACGACGACGAGTGGCGTCCGCGTCGCCGGGCCGTTCCGCGCTCGTCGCCTGGCTTTGTCGCCCATCTGCTGTGGTCGATGCTCGGCCTTGCAGCGTCGCCGCTGATCTTGCTCATCTGCAGCCCGTTCCAGCGCTTTTACGGCCCAGGGTACGGACGTCCCATGGCCTGCCTCCTCGACGGTGCTCACGTTCGCATAGGTCGTGGCCATTAGACTGCGCGTCGCCATTTCGCTTTGTGCGCAAGAGCGTGCTGAACCTCTTGACACTTGCGTTGCTGCTGCTGCTCGTCTACGTGCACCTGACGCAGGAATGGCCGTCGCTAAGCAACCTGCCGGCGTCGCTCGAGCTCGCGCAGGCGTCGACCACCGTGCTGCGCGACCAAGTGGTCGCGTGCGCCCACTGCGTGCGTCTTCACGAACAGTTTCTCGACGTGACGCAGCACATTCTCGCGACGATCGTGGCCGCGGACCACGACGCCTTTCCGAGCCTCGAGCCGCCGTTGTCGATGGACCCGGACTGCACCGGCCCGGTGCTGCAGCTTGCTGGGTTTGCTGGGCTTCTTTTGCTTGTCTTGTACTTTTACACGACGACGACGCGCGTGCTGGCGCTGCTCATCGTAGTTTTGCGGACGTCGATGGTCGCGCGGCTCGTGGCCGAGTATGCAACGCTGCAGCCGTGCATCGTCCGCATCGACCCGACGTACGCGTTGTTGGACGAAGAACTCGTGCTCTCGGTCACCGGCGTCGACCTCGTACCGGGTGGCACCGTCGCGTGGATCCCGTACTGGTGCTCGGCTTCGACGTTTGCGTCGACTGCGTTTGGCGGCGACTGCGCCAAGCAGTTTGCTAGTACGTTTGCAAGCGGGACGGTCACGGCGACCTTTTCAGTGCTCGAAACGTACATTCCGTGCTACAAGCCGCCGAGCGACCCGACCGAAGCGCGCGACTATCGGTGTTTTGAGACGGTCCGACTCCGCGTCAAGGAGGCCAAGAACATTCCTGGTCTCGCGCCGTCCATCTAGTGATATTGCTCTCGATTGAATTATTCTCTTCCTCTGATACGATGACATTATTCTCTTGTCCTACCGACGGCATGCGACGTGTGAGCCTCGATGACGATTGTGTGCTTTCCGTCAGCAACTTTCAAGCACGCAGCACCGCGCGGAGGTCGTCGACGAGCAAACACAGCATGGTGGATGGCGCCAGAGTGCGGAGCAAAGTCTGCGCCAGACCACCGACGTCGACGTGAACGAGTAGTGTGACCGTGGCCGATGCGGGGGTGGCCCCCGGCCGCACCACCCACCCAGAGGGGTACACAACGAGTGGTGTGTACGATGTATCGAGCGTAGCAGTCGCCTCGCGCGACCACAAGAGAGCTTCCTCCCTACCGTGCAGGAGCAAAGTTGGCGTCAGCGGAAAGCGAAATACGACGACCGGCTAACCAGTGGAGCGACGCGACGGCCATGGTGTACGCAGACGTTGCCTGCAGTAGCATCGCACGCCGGGGCTTCGCACCTCGAATACGGTACGTGGCTTGGACAATACTGGCGCGACCGCTCTGATGCAAGGTGCAGGCTACACCACGCAGAACGTGAGGGTCAGTCAATATAAAAAGACGCTTGGTGGAACGCTCTGTACCGGAATGACCAAAGACGTAGCCCAAGGGCCCGTAGAGGTCCAGCGCGTTGCCAAGGGCTGCGTAGGCTGCATCGGGCGATAGAGCAATGTCCATTTGAATCTATCACGCCTATTAGGTGCCCGCACACGCGCGCGAGGAGCCGCGCACCCGCGCCGCCACTGATTTGTGTGGTGGCAGGTGCAACGAGACGTCGATAGTGGCCCCAGCGTGGACTGTCGACTTGTCCCACATCGTCGTGTCTCGATCGAGGGCGGCGACGGCGGCTGGTAGCTGGTGCAGCAGGCGATGCGTCTCCTCGGCCACATGCTGCGGCGCGCCGCTCATGCTGCCCAAGGATTGCACATGTAGCAGCGCGTCAAGCCATTCGGCGGCTGCCGGTGTGTCCAAATACACGGTCACTGGCTCTGCGCCTGGCGAAGTCAGGTCGATTCGACACACGTCCCGGGCGACGGACAAGTGCGTGACGACCACGAGGTGGATGCCACCGACGGGCGCCGACGTCGGCGCTTTCGAGACATACAGAATCGGGTGGCCTCGCACGGCACCGAGCGTCACCCACCGGCAGCATGCGTCGGAGCACCGAGACGCCAGTG